TGAAAATATATGTTGTATTTGCAGCGTGAATGCGAACGCTTTATGTGTATGAAGAAATAAATTTCAACTGATCATAGTCATTAGAGGTGCTGCAAACGATGAACCTGTAATTAGTTTCGTTATTTCCGATACTGCTTTCCGTTCAACAAACTTGCAATCATTGGCTTATTTCATTTCCTATTTTCATTTCGAATTTAATTCAACGAACTGCAAGGAAACAACGAAATTTTCATTCTTCTACTGTCGCTATTCATGGAACTTGCATTGCCTCAGCGGAACGTGACATTTACCTTTCGAATCAAGCTGTATTTTTTCTGAAATTTTGCCGAATTCTTGCGAATCTTTCGATCGTGGATGAAGATGGACAGGCCACAGCCAGTTCTTTCATGCCAGCCAGGATTTATCCCGTTGCAAAGGATATGCAGGCTAACAGTTCTTTTTCTGGTCATTATTCACTGCTGCTCCTGGTCATCAGTGGTTTGGTCATTCAATTTGGACATTCATGCGCCAATTTTCAAAATTGGCCCAAATGATTCGTATTTCGGCTTTGCTGTCGCGGAGCATTTTAAAGTGGACCGACCAGTGTAAGTTATGAAATCTTCCCTTTTGTTTTTCACTAAAAAATTAGTCTAGTGAATTTTGGAATTTCCTGAACTTTTTTCAAAGCCTCCGGGATTTACAAAATTTTTTTTTTGCGTAATTTTGACTCTCTTTTTTCAAATCGTATATCTCGTGAATTCTAGACATTAATGTGAAAGGGCTGTTTTTAATAAAATCGGAACGAACCTAGGACCAAAAGATAGAATAATCCAGTAACACCGAAAGAACTAAAAAATTTTGTTAATTTTTTAAAAATCTTTCAGGAAAGAAAGAATTTTTTCAAACATTGAAAAAATAGAAAAACAGCCGACGTTTTTTTGAAAATGTTAAATTTTTTGTAAAAAAAACGGAGCATTTTTCAAAATGCGGCGCAAAAAATTTTCCCGAAAATTTGATTACAAATAACTTTATATTCCGAATTCCTTCCACTCCTTCTCTTCCATATCCTTTTTTCTTTTCTCACTTCTTCCTCATCGCTTCCGTTTCCGGACACCACCGGTTTATCAACTTCTCAAAAAGCAGAAGGCATTATAAATGCGGTCCA